TCTGTAGTTGGTGAGGAACAGTGCTCCTTCAGCTGGCAACAGTATTGGGCCTCCAATACTACCACCTGTAGCATCTTCTCTCCCATCCGGAAGCAGGTAAACTCTCAAGCCTTCATACACTACTTCTTCACCCGGCACTAACGATGGCAATAATATCTTGGGCTGGAAAGGATTGGTACGTAGACAAAATTACAAAAATAACCAGAGCAAAGCACATAAAATAAAACTGAATGAGATTATGATTATAAAGTAAAATAATAAACTTTCATATTTTCTCACATGGGGGTATGGTATCAATTTGGTTTAACCACTAATAATTCATAAAATTACATTTCATTGCCTGACAGATTGGGCTGGACTTAAAAAAAAATAATAATAAAATAAAAAAAAATAAAGCTTTCTGAACGTGTATGACATCCAGCCCTGCATCACACAATTCATGACAGAAAATCATCAAGCTTATTTCATTCCCACATGAAAGAATCCCAACAAAATAAATCATAAAGGTACACCACAATTTCCAACACTGACCAAGTAACTGCAGATTCATTTATTTTTCTAAATGAGCTGTAACATTCACATTAATATCATCATGTGATTCACTCAATACACTGTTAGGTACAAACATCCTTTGATTTCCATAAAACTGAGCAAATGGCATGGAAAACTATTAACTTCTTCCCCCCAATCATTCAAATAAAAAGAATGAAAATTACCAATGTAAATACATTGGTGACTCAAGAAAACCCCCACAATTGGTCAACTTCTGAAAGCAAGTTAAACAAAGCACAATAACCCATTGCCACCAGGAAGATGAAGTGTTCACTGAAGTATTCCTTTGAGAAATGTCTCTACATATAGAGGGCTCCACAAGTGCTTAGCCACCAAGAAGTCAATCAGTAAACCTTGTGACCTCATCTAATTTCACCTTTCCCTGAGTATTGGATATATATATTTATTAATAAATTTATTATCATTATTATTTTTATTAATGAAATCAATATCAAAGTTATCATAGACATTATAATTATCATAATGTTACTGTCATTATCAAGAGCAATATAAGATATAACAAAATATTTCCATGAAACAAGGAAAAGGGTAAACCAGTGAGATAGGTAGCACTTACAAAGTGGCTCAATGGCGACTAAATATTTGTGGAACCAGCTATGTGAAAAGACAATTAATAAACTGGACTCACAGTGAGCACGGTGACATGAGTTTAACAACACAAGTCACACTACTAGAAAAAAAAGCTATTGTGATCACTTCAAAGTGCAGCTGCCTTCAAAATCCCAACACTTTGCACAGTCACAGAAGAAGGGATACATCATGAGCCTAAAATGCTCTTGAACCCAATCCTTGACTCACCTGCCCATGGACAATTTCTGTGTATCTTGGGTCAGGTTTGTACGTACCATCAGTACTTTGTCTATAAGCATCACGTCTGATGAATATGGTGGACTAAGGGACCAAAATAATTAGGAAATTATTAAATGGGGGAAAAAAAAAAAATCTTACTGGCCAAGTATCTTTTAGGCTAATACATGATAGAACTTCTATTGGAACACAATACATACCAAATAAATAACCACTTTGCTATAAAAATTATACAACTGAATGAAATTTCTATCTTTGGAGTCCCAATCATTCTTATTTTTGACTTCTTGATAAAAAAAAAAAAAAGGAATCTGAAAAATTTACTTTTTAGCAAACAAATAATTAGCTTACAATACTTGAAGATCCACACAGTTATGTTAATTAACTAAAGTATTTTGAAGTGAATAAAAGTTCTACCATTGCCAATATAAGATATTCAATGCCTATATATGTTCCTTGGCCTATGAGCATGCTTATCAAATAGAATTATTATAATAAAATCAAATGGCCAACCAACTATGCCTACCTTCTGTATAGGTGGTAAACGCTTGGATTCTTTGTACACAGCATCCAGCATCTCCACATGCATGGCTACAACTCCTGGTATCATTTGGTGTAGCGACTTGATGTGTTCCTCTATAGGGAAGAAAAGAAAATTTCAAGTGTGAGACACATATTGCTATAACTGAACACTACTATCAGATCCAACACATACAACACTGACCCTTGGAAGAAGGGAATATGTTATTCCTACTCTGTCCCTAATGTTTCCTAAATTTCACAGATGTGTATTTTGGTGACAAAGATTCTATACAGTTTAACAGTTTAAAGATGCTTCTAGTCAGTGTGAAGGAATGTCAGAGTGAACACCAACAATGCATGCTGCTTTACACAAAACCCTCAGAGCAGAAATAAGTTGTATGTCTACCATAACTTAAACTGTACTAGCACATCAACACTGAACCAATGGAATGTATTAGTCTTCAGTCATTATCTGTTAGTTATTAAGACATATACACCTCTCCATATCCCTTACCTGTCACACCACCTTCCGTGCATACTTTGTCAACAAATCTTGCCACAAAGCGCACTACGCTGGCTTCACGGTCACTTTGTTCTTGGTCTTCAAAGCCGGACTCAGCATCTAAACTATCACTCTCTGCCATGCTAAAATACATATAAGGAAAACATAAATATCAAAACAAAACAGGTAATCAACACAGCATGAAGTCCTTTACAGCAAACTAAAACAAAAAATCTATTATCTACCCTACTTCCAGCTATACTACCCTCTGTAAACAATGGCTGTCTAACTGCATCCACAAGAACCAGGATTTCTAGTTTCCCTACCTGTTTATGTCACATAGTATTTACAAAACAATGTTTGATATCATTTATCTTATAAATGTCTGCAATTACTGATATTTCAAACTCAGTAATGTATACATAAAAAGAATCTAGTGTATAATCTTATCACTGGAAAACTTCATACTGGGATTTTACATGAAAAATTACATATGTAAAAGATATTACTTTTAAAAGTGCTCAACATACATAACCTAACGTAGATGGCACATCATATAATAGTAGAATTTCTTGTCAGATACTATAAAAGTAAGCTACTTACCTATTTGTAATACTGTTACTGGCAGTGTCACGTTCATTGAAGGTACGTCTATGTGTGGCTGCATTAACATCTATGGGAACTCTAAGGAACACCATCCTATTTGCATAATGGATTGCCTGAGAGTATAGAGTGGACTCCTCTTGTTCCACTATTTCCCGTTGTTTTCCTGCAAGAAAAGAAAAAAAAAAAGGACTTTTCTAACTTTGTTCCATCATTATGTTGAATTTCTGGAAAAAATTCACTTCATAAATGGTATGTAAAAATACCAAATGACTATAAATGGTATGTAAAAATACCAAATGACTTACTTGTTTCAATATTAGGCCAGAGCCTCATCTGCTCTGCTGCAATTTCCAAAGCTGAAGACTCATGCGGTCTGAGGAAGGACAATCTGGACTCCTTCCAAGAACCAGAATCTGAGGGCTGTTAAGAGAAACTAGTGAATCACCTGTGAAATACTAGCAAGTAGTGCCTGGTCCCAAAGTGTTTATAACCAGAGTCACAAAAGACTGTCAAATGCCCCACAAATAAGACCATGCAAAATTCACACAAATATATTTGCATATATCCCTGTCCAAAGTTCTGTTTCAAGCATGCAAGCACACAGACAAGAGGATTAAAAGAAACAAAACACAGACACAGACACACACAAACTTACATCTCTTGGGTTCACAGGACTTAATGATGGATCCTTAATACAAGACGTATCAGATGAGAGTGAAGTCCGACTAGCTTGCTGAGATCGATCTTGGTACAAGCTCTTGATTTCCTTCTGAACATCTTGATAAAATGCTGCTTCCCAAAACTGCTGATTGCCCCATACTGAATGATCCTGAAACAATATTTATAAAATGTATTTATCCAAAAATAAATCTGTGGTTAGATATCAATTTGATAATTCAGAGCTTTAAATACTATTACATTACTTTCAAAAAGACAGCAAATGTTGAATGATTCCAATAAACATTAATAAGTGTTAAAAACACTTCCTTGTGTGATTGCAGTTACAAATATCTGGGATATGGCTCCTTCAGTTTCAATTCCACAGCAACATTCAAAAGACAGAGAAGATGGGAAGTAAGATTAGTAGGAAGGAGGAAGGGAAGGATGAGGAGAATGAGGAGGGAGATGGAGAAAAAGGAGAAAGGAAGTAGGACAGGCATTCAATAAATATCCCAGAACAAACCTGTATGCAAGTATAGGCAAACTGTATAACTCCTGTACATAATTTCCGACAGAAGGCTGTGGAGAGAGGAAGCAGAGCAGCTGCAACACCATGCTCATCCATTGGAGAATCATCCTGGAACAATGAAAAATTATTAGAAACAATAACATAATCTCACATCATTAAGTGTCTCTTAAATGCCCAGGTATGTACACCAAATCTCTAATATTACTCCACCTTTTCAATTACAATTCTATTTTCAAGTAACTGTTACATGAGGTCTTTATATGACACAAAGTTTTATTCAAAACTGTGTTCTCTCACACAAACCTGCAGTGCACAATTCATTAGCCTAACCACTAAATCAAACTGCTGGTGTTCTAAAACAGCTTTATTGCCCTGGACATGGTGACTCAGCTCTGTGCACAGAGCCAAGCGAGCTGCTTTACTTTTTAATGCTCTTAATACTGCAGGGAATGTCTTTCTAGCATCACTTATTTTGTTCTCAAATATGCAGTTCACACAATTCCTCATAACCTGCAAAGAAAGGAGATCAGTGAGTATGGTCATGTGAAATGAGTAAAACCAACATCATTACCCAGCAAGCAAACAGAAATCAAACTGAAATTCTGAGATTCCCAGTAATTCTCAGCATTACATGTTCCAATAGCATTAAATGACATCATTCATGTATATCAAACAATGCCACACCTCAGCATGTTATTTTAGCTCTTCTTTTATTCAAAAGATACTGTATTGAAAGTACAATAATTTGACATGATCTTTTTAGCTTTTCTTTCATTTAAGAGTCCAATAATTCAGCTTGAAAATGACACCTATACATTTTCTTTTATTTAAAAAAAATCCTAATAATCTCTTGACGTGAAATAAGAGATAAATGTGAAGTGCAAGTAACCTAAGAGGGTCAGATAGAGTTTTCAACTTTATATGCCTTGAACAAACAAATGAACAAATATACATACATAAACACACACACACAAACACACACACAGAGTATGTATACACAAAAGGAATAATAATGGATATTAAATTCTTTTAAAGAAAACTAGAGAGAAAAAAGACACCACTAATAAGATACTTGCTTTTCTATCCTCTTTCAGTTCTTTCAATTACTAATAGATTTTAAAATTCTAAAACTTTCTCATACATGAATGGAATGGGCAATGCAAATTCATGTAACATGACATACAAACACATAAATATAAAAATGTTATTATAACAGGAAATTAGTGTAATGATAAAAGAAACCTATCATAGAATACAACACTCTATGCCTATGCAATCGTCTTTTAGTGACAAAAAGGAAGAGCAAAAGATATCTGAAAACTTGTCCCCAATTATACCTGACAATGAAACATATGAAACATACCTCTAATCTTCTTGCAGAACTTGAAACTAATCCTCTGCCTGACTGTAGACTAGAGATATGGGGGCCCATAGGAACAATTCTTGGCTGGCCCACTTTCTGTGGGATTCTGAAAAATGACAACACAAGTTTTATTTTCATTTCAAATATGACTGAGTTGATTAAACATTCAAAGCATATCACTGCATTTTAAAAGAATTATATATGTACATTCATATTATTAATCCTGTCACTTAATTAACAATCAAAGAGTCAAAGTGCTACACACTCTTTCCAAATACACAGACTAAGAATTCCTGCTTGTACTCAGTACTCACTTCACTTTTTTGGCAGTGCCTTCATCAATGATACTTTGGACCTGCTGAACATCTATATGTGGGAAGACTGGTTGATGGATACGTGTAAATGAACCCTCAGTGGGCTTAGGAATCTTGGCAACAAATGGCTGTGGGTTTGGGTTTTCATTGCTGTACAGCTGCTGACCAAGTTCCTGCTGGGTAAAGAGAAAATGAATAATGTAATAAAAATTGAGGAAGATATATAACTGGTACTGGGCTTTTTTTAAAGATACATTCCATAGGGAATCCTTAACATGCTTCTTCTCTAATATCAATATATAAAAGTATTTAATTCTCTAATGGTTAATCATTTCCCTAAAGCACTATAGACCAACAGATAGACACTTTCTCTCTCCCTCCCTCTCTTCCTCTTAAGTGCACCCCATGGCCAGCGGTCAACCCGGTAAAACTTCCCTTAGTCTCCCTATTAATCAAGCCGTAAAACAATAATGACTTCTAACCATCTTATCTTGTAATTGCATAATGCTCACATAATTCACATCATTAAGGGTCTCTTAAATGCCCAGGTATGTACACCAAATCTCTAATATTACTCCACCTTTTCAATTACAATTCTATTTTCAAGTAACTGTTACATGAGGTCTTTATATGACACAAAGTTTTATTCAAAACTGTGTTCTCTCACACAAACCTGCAGTGCACAATTCATTAGCCTAACCACTAAATCAAACTGCTGGTGTTCTAAAACAGCTTTATTGCCCTGGACATGGTGACTCAGCTCTGTGCACAGAGCCAAGCGAGCTGCTTTACTTTTTAATGCTCTTAATACTGCAGGGAATGTCTTTCTAGCATCACTTATTTTGTTCTCAAATATGCAGTTCACACAATTCCTCATAACCTGCAAAGAAAGGAGATCAGTGAGTATGGTCATGTGAAATGAGTAAAACCAACATCATTACCCAGCAAGCAAACAGAAATCAAACTGAAATTCTGAGATTCCCAGTAATTCTCAGCATTACATGTTCCAATAGCATTAAATGACATCATTCATGTATATCAAACAATGCCACACCTCAGCATGTTATTTTAGCTCTTCTTTTATTCAAAAGATACTGTATTGAAAGTACAATAATTTGACATGATCTTTTTAGCTTTTCTTTCATTTAAGAGTCCAATAATTCAGCTTGAAAATGACACCTATACATTTTCTTTTATTTAAAAAAAATCCTAATAATCTCTTGACGTGAAATAAGAGATAAATGTGAAGTGCAAGTAACCTAAGAGGGTCAGATAGAGTTTTCAACTTTATATGCCTTGAACAAACAAATGAACAAATATACATACATAAACACACACACAGAGTATGTATACACAAAAGGAATAATAATGGATATTAAATTCTTTTAAAGAAAACTAGAGAGAAAAAAGACACCACTAATAAGATACTTGCTTTTCTATCCTCTTTCAGTTCTTTCAATTACTAATAGATTTTAAAATTCTAAAACTTTCTCATACATGAATGGAATGGGCAATGCAAATTCATGTAACATGACATACAAACACATAAATATAAAAATGTTATTATAACAGGAAATTAGTGTAATGATAAAAGAAACCTATCATAGAATACAACACTCTATGCCTATGCAATCGTCTTTTAGTGACAAAAAGGAAGAGCAAAAGATATCTGAAAACTTGTCCCCAATTATACCTGACAATGAAACATATGAAACATACCTCTAATCTTCTTGCAGAACTTGAAACTAATCCTCTGCCTGACTGTAGACTAGAGATATGGGGGCCCATAGGAACAATTCTTGGCTGGCCCACTTTCTGTGGGATTCTGAAAAATGACAACACAAGTTTTATTTTCATTTCAAATATGACTGAGTTGATTAAACATTCAAAGCATATCACTGCATTTTAAAAGAATTATATATGTACATTCATATTATTAATCCTGTCACTTAATTAACAATCAAAGAGTCAACTAGAGTCAAAGAGTCAAAGTGCTACACACTCTTTCCAAATACACAGACTAAGAATTCCTGCTTGTACTCAGTACTCACTTCACTTTTTTGGCAGTGCCTTCATCAATGATACTTTGGACCTGCTGAACATCTATATGTGGGAAGACTGGTTGATGGATACGTGTAAATGAACCCTCAGTGGGCTTAGGAATCTTGGCAACAAATGGCTGTGGGTTTGGGTTTTCATTGCTGTACAGCTGCTGACCAAGTTCCTGCTGGGTAAAGAGAAAATGAATAATGTAATAAAAATTGAGGAAGATATATAACTGGTACTGGGCTTTTTTTAAAGATACATTCCATAGGGAATCCTTTACATGCTTCTCCTCTATTATCAATATATAAAAGTATTTAATTCTCTAATGGTTAATAATTTCCCTAAAGTATTATAGACCAACAGATAGACACTTTCTCTCTCCCTCCCTCTCTTCCTCTTAAGTGCACCCCATGGCCAGCGGTCAACCCGGTAAAACTTCCCTTAGTCTCCCTATTAAACAAGCAGTAAAACAATAATGACTTCTTACAATCTTATCTTGTAATTGCATAATGCTCACATTAATTCACATAAAATGCTTTTGATAATTCTTATTGCTAACTACTATTATTTACATTGTAATTAATTTTTCTTTTTTTTTCGTACCCTCAATTATTTCAGTAAACTTCCCTTTATTATGCATTGGTAGTCTTAGACATTGTAAAACTTACAATTGCCATTTAGAAAAAACAATTGCCATTGCCTTGACAATGGCTATCCTATGGGAAGAAAGCAAAATTATTTACTTTTATTTCTATTGCAATATTGCTTTATACTTTCTTCTGAAGAAGAAAGTGCAAGTTAGACTGTGCACAATAACAATAGCAAACACATTCAGTTGTCTTAATCCAATGCTGACTGGTATCAGAAATCCCTGAGTGTCATAAACTCTGGTGATTTCTGGCAACGTCCAGACACTCTGCTACAAGTAGTGCAACTTCCCACTCCACATGCTCTGGTGCGTTTGCTGCATGTATAGCCATACCATGCAGACCAAGTAGTATGTTATGATGCTTGTACACATGACCCATCCGTAAAGGGTTAAAAATGAAGCCCATAAACTAGAGTGAACCTTTTGCAGCCCATTTTCGGAGTGTTGTTTTGATAACATATTTCTACCCTACACCTAATATACTTTTCCTTTCCTCCCTCCCCCTTCCATTTCCCCTTCCTCGTTTCCTTCCTTTTTTCTTTCTTCCTTTCTTAATTTCTTCCTTCCTAACTTCCTCTCTCTGAAAATCTGTACCTGAATGCATAAAAGGTATGAATGAGAATGAATATCTTCACAGTACCAGGGCCTGGTAGTATCGATTATATCTTAATACATTCTCATTCATACCTTTTCTACATTTCTCACAATGAACACTGCACCTGAATATGGACTAGAAGCATTCGACTATCATGTTGCTCCAGACGTAGTTGGTCCCCAATGCCAGAGTAGAGGTCATCCCATAGGTCACAGACTCTCCAGGGGGGGCCTCTCTCCGTGACAAATGTGGTGAAGAACATGCAGTCTAAGACCTTGCCCACAAATTCATTGTCCACCATTCCACGGTTACCAAGGAAAGATGCCTGCAAAAATACAGATGCAATTACTCATAAAGCATTAAATGAATGACATTTCTGTAAAACTAGGCAAGTCTGAAAGTAAAAGCTAAAGAGGTTTCATACTTTATCTTCCTAGAATAGGTTATTTAACTAAATAAATAGCATCTATACATGTCATGGTGATGGTGGGCCAAAATCTGAATGGCACCTATACATACCACAACAATGAAGCTTGTTTTGTGTTCTGTGCACTATATAAGTGTGAAATTTCATGACTCTAAGGATATTTTAATAAAAAAAAAGCAGTGCCAGAATCTAGACACAGGGAAAAACATCCTCTTTCTACTCCTGAGTTTTGGCTCAAACAGGTGACCTTGAAACCAATCCCAGCACAATGGCCAGTATTCAAAAATGGAATGAACACAGAAAATAATCTCAACAGTATAAAAATCAGCTAACACACAAATACTATTTATGTTTAAAATCATTCATAGTATGAAAAAAAAAAGTAATTCAAAACAACTTCAGAAACCTATCAACAAAGTATCAATCCTCCATACCTTGTGGAAGGTAATAACTGGCTTTGAATGTATCCTGATAATGGTGAGACATGATCGGTAACCCTGTAATAATTCGGCGAACATGCGCATGAACACAGCTCTGATTTCTTTGTCCATCACAATATGCGGGGAGGCCCTGATACCAGCACTTGAGGGAAAGGCATTGTCTGCGGTGCTGAGATCAGGGTGAAGCACCTGCAAAATAGACAAATGAATAGTGATACCTTCTAAAGCACTGTGATTGCTAACATCTTTAACCTTTTCTTAGATCCAAGAACAGGTCCTTCTATAATACTTTTTTCACTAGATATGTTGTCTGACTTTTCTTTCAACAGGGAATCTTATTTTCTGACTTTGAAGTTTCAATAGAATTAGGTAAATAGTTATATATTGTCCTGCATAAAAAGTAATACAGTTGTTTATATATAGGTAAATAGTTTTTGTCCACTCTATGGCCTTCTCAAATACAGCCTATAAGGAATTGGGAGTGGGAGAGTAAGGAAAAAGAAAAGAGAGAGAAACACATGACAAAGACTGGGAAGCTGATAATGGAGACTAAGATAAAGAAGAGGAAGAGGAAGAGGAAAATGAGGAAGATGGAGAAACAGAGGAAAATAGAGAGAGAAAAAAAAAATCAGGAAGATGGAGAAACAGAGGAAAAGGGAGAAAAACAAAAAAATTGAGGAAGATGGAGATATGGAAAAAATGAAAGGAGAAGAGGAGAGATGAAGAAAGAGAGGAGACATATTAGAAACGAAAGAAGGAAAAGAGAACAGGAGAAAGATACGGAATGAGGGGAGGAGGAGGAGGGGGAAAAAAGGAAACGAAAAGAAAAGGAAGAAAAAAAAGAAAAAAAGAAAAAGAAAAAAAAAGGGGGAAGGAGAAAAGGAGAAGAAAAAGAAAACCAAGAAAGAAAACATGTGGAAATAAAAGGGGAAAAAAAGAGAAAAAAAAGAAAGAAGAAGAAGGAAATGAACAACAGACCTATACCCTGTAAAACCTACCTTCGAGAGAGCAGCGTGGGTCTGGCTCCAGAATGGCTCTGGCAAGAGAGACACCGTCAGACTTTCTGGGACACGGATAGATCCTCCATCGAGATCGGCAACAATTACATCCATCTGTTATTGTGATAGATGGATTGCATTTCAGCAAAATATTTGGTATTTGATGATGATGATGATGATGACGATGATGATAATAATAATGAAAAAAGAAGGTTACATTGTAACTCCTTTTTACTGGAACTATTTAGCAATATGCTGAAAATGAAAAAATAGGAAATACTTGTGTAATATATACGTGTATTACCCTAGCTTCTCAGTGGAATATACATATATGTTAATATGAATACTACTGCTAACTGCATAGTCTACATATTATGCACCTCACTATGAGTTAACCCATTCGCCACACATGGCAAGAATAGATGCCATGCCCACTTTGATGTACGTTCATTTATTGTATTTACACATAGATGGCTCCACAAGTTCTTAATCACCAAACAGTCAGTTATCAAGAACTACCTATTTCCCCTGTTTACCCGTTTCCTTCACTTTAGGAAAGGGTTTTCTGTATCATTTCATTGTCTAAAATATTCTAATGACAATTTAATAATCATAACATCAATAACAATAATAACAGTGTTGATAGCAATGGTATTAATTTTCCTACCAATTCAATGAATGGAAAAATCAGGGTCGGTAACTAGGGCCTACTGATAGACTCCTTGCCGGCAGAGCCATCTGTATGTAACAAAATTCACCAAAAATTACAGGGGACAGAACATAAATCCGGGGCGAATGGGTTAAGCATTATAAGAGATATTAACCTCTTACAATGCTTAACTCACTCATGACAGGTACCCATCCTATCACATCATGGCTGACCACATTTTTCTCACTGGGATGATGTCCCATGATGCCATGTGCAGTAGAGCCTACTCCAAAAACAGTTGTTTGCTTGATTGACCCTGGCTGCAGGCACTGAAGAGGCACAGCCCCTCAAAAGTAGATTCACTTTTTTGCCTCATTATCATTTATGTCACAGCCAAGAAAACAAGAGAGCTGAGTAAATTCTTGTTTCCCACTCATCTACTTTTTCCATTGAGTAACTGAATCCATAAGCATCAAAGCGCAGTTTGATAAAGTACAGAGAGTTCCCATGAGGACTGGGCTAACAGAGTTCAGACAGGTAAAACAGCAAAAACAATAATCTTAAAAAACAAAACAAAAAAAACAACAACAACAACAACAACAATCAAATCCTCACCAGTTCAACAACATCATGCTGGAGGTGAGAATGAACTCCCATGATGAAGGGCGTTGGTGTGGACAAAACCTCAACCAAAGATGCTGGCAGAATTGGAATGTAGACGTGGGAGTACCTGGAGAAGAATGGTACTCAATCAGAATCTCTTGATACAACCATTTCAAGCATGATGGGGTACAGGAGTGACTAAAATAAGATATGTATC